AAGCTATGAATAGCGTTTACTTCCACAATGTGTTCCTTTAGTTCATTCCATTTCCCCACTACTCTTACACTAAAAGAAAACTTTCTAACATCTCTATGACTCAGAGTTTCCAGCTTCCATCCATGTCCCCTGTTCTGCTGGTATTTGGTGTGAACATTTTGTCTATTTCCATTCTATCACGCCCTCTAAGTATTTTGTATGCTATTATATCTCCCCGCTCCCTCCTTTTTTTAACGTCATCAGGTTCAGTTCCTTCAGTCGCTCTTCATATCCCATCCCATGCAGCACTGGGATTAGTCTTGTCTCAAATTTCTGAACCTTTTTCAGTTTCCTAATGTGTTTCTTTAGGTGGAGTTGCATACTCTAAGACTGGTCTCACATAGGCAGTGCAAAGCACTCTTGAGTACCTCCTGTGTGTATGTGTGAGTGTAATTACCTAAGTGTAGCTACAGAATGAGAGCTACACTCGTGGTGTCCTGTCTTCCCAATACTCTTTGCCATATAATGCTTTGGAACTACTAACGGTTTTGGCCTCCACCACCACTTAGCTTGTTTCAACCATCTACCACTCTGTTTGCAAAAGAAAACTTTCTAATATTTTTTTTCCACCTTTGTTCACTTAACTTGAATCTATCAAATCAACCGAGGTTGCTTGGTTTCAGGAATTCCTGTCAATTTGGTCGATTCATTATTATTTTGTAAATGGCAGTCATATATTTTTTTCCCCCTCGATCTAGCTTTGGCATATTTAATGCTTCTAGCCTCTCTTCATAACTCCTGTTTATCAATTCTGGAACCATTTTGTAGCAGGCACCATTTCTAGTTTATTAATGTGTGTGTGTGTGTGTATATTTATTGATTTATTAATTTTTAGGTATCTTAGGTCTCTTTTTCTATGCTACTCTTCTCATTTTGAAAGTGGAAAAACAAGAAAATAAGTCATTTAAATTAAGTTTATGCCCAAGGCCTAGAACAGGAACTAAGTTATTCAAATCTACAATAATGAAAAAACAATTAAGTACAGTATTCAACATTATTTTCAACTACAGTATTTAACAAGTTTATATTTATCACTATCAATATATACTAGATATGTGCTAAATTAAACACTTGTAACAAAAACTAACAAGATAATCAGATAATTAGTTGGAACATAAGTGCAATATTCACAACCTGAAACTTGCTGCTTACAGTAGCTAGAGAGGAAAAAAAATGTCTGGCGGGTTAAAAAAAAAAAAAAAAAAAAAAAAAAAAAAGTAGGAAATTGCAGATAGTCTATTTGCCCATGTAAGGCAAACCCTAATTCATACTCAACCAAACTCACCGATATACTTAACATACGCCGGTTCTGGTCATCCGTTCTTTAAATCAACAACACTCCTGTATATCCGGCAACCCGTTCTCGCAAATTTAATAAGTCAATATTGACTTATTAAATATGTGCATAGGTGACATACTTAACATAATAGTTTCCCTTGAAAAGCTTCATAGAAAACACCGACCTTACCTAACCTACTTAGTATGTTAAGATAAGCATCTTACAATTATTACCTAACCTATACCTATAATAGGTTAAGTAACAATTGTAATTACGAAGCTATAAGATGCTTATTTTAACATACTAAGTAGGTTAGGTAAGGTCGGTGTTTTCTATGAAGCTTTTCAAGGGAAACTATTATGTTTAGTATGTCACCTATGCACATATTTAATAAGTCAATATTGACTTATTAAATTTGCGAGAACTACTCATGTCTTTTCTGTATCTAACTTTATGCAATTTTTATCATTGTTTAGTGGTGATAAATTTAGCACCTTATTAATATCCCTTTTCATCCATTTGTATAACAATCATGATATCCTATATTAATTGGCTTTCTAGAGACTGTAAATTAAGCTTACTTATCTCTTTTCATAAGGTGTACATTCAAAGCAAATTCATATCCATTCTAAAGTATGGCAACCAAAACTGAACCATTGTACAGTACATTATGTAAATGAGCCTCTTTCTCAATATAGCATATATCTTACATCTACACATTGATTTTTTACAGTTTAAGATCCCTAATCATTACTCCCAGATCCCTATATTTGTCTGCATTTAACTGCATCTCTAAATCTTTTATTCATTTTTACCCTCAAAGTCCTGCTATCATCAAATTGTCACCTGACCTGAGCAAGGAAGAGAAAAAAAAATTCTTATAAACTTTAGATCCGTATTCAATATTATTAAAAATAAAAAAAAAACAGTTCACATATCTACTCTGTTTTGGCCTGGGCAGTGGTCAACATTTCTTGACATTGATTGGTATCACATTCTGATGGTAGCCAGACCAGACCATTTTTATCATATGAAGTACTGTACTGTATATACAAAGCAAAGAATATGTATGCTAATAATAACTATATACAGTACAGTGAACATCTTTATATTGGTCAAGTTAAGTGATACAGACGTCATATAATCAGACCAGCAGTTGAAGGATGTCCAACTCCAAATTATTTCGTGACCTTCCATGACTGCTGTGAAACAAAATGTATCTTTTTGGAAACCAGTATTCAAACATCGATACAAAAAAGTCAAGATGACTCCCACATTGCACTAGACCACCATTTTATAACAACTACACTCCAAGGGTTAAAGGCTCTTCGAAATTTCCTTGTAGTGAAGCCTAATCAGAGACCAGGCCACGGGGACCTCAACCCCCGAATTCACCGCAAGGTAGGTAAGGTAGTGATTTTCAGTCTTCTGAACTTATCTTCTCATACTCCTATTTTTATCTGCAAATTTGCAAATTATATTTCATCCTAAATTGTTCATATGGTAAACAAAGAGAACAGTCCCAGAACAGACCTGAAACATGGTTTTTTCTGTTTAGCTTTCATGCAACTGTTTGTATTTTGTTTGTCATTTTTTTTAGCTTTCTTGTATAATAATGGGCAACAAACTACATGGCAGGCTGAACATGAATAAATGCACAAAGAGTATTTTGTAAAAGATAGCACACTGTAATTAGAAATATATTGTAAACCATATTTTTTATAAATGTTTTCTTGCAAGATTATAGAGCATTCAATTTATATATGTATTTTGAACATACAATATTAATAATGTACCTCAAAGGAATATTCAAAATAAATAAAGTATTTATATAAAATACTCAAAATAAAAGTATTTATTCTTTGGAAATACAAAGTTTAAACTTGTATTTTTCAGTATAGTATGTATTTAGTACACTAGATAACTCTACAGATGATCAGTTAAATTGTCTTAAGAAATTAATGTGCATTATAACTAAAATAATAATGGTAATCATTATACTGTACTTCCTTCATAAAGTAAATTTGGATTTCATATATAAACACTTGTGAATTTATATTACTGTACGTTACTGCATTTATTCTCTTGAGCATTCATTTCCTTTAAAGATTAGACATGGTTCACGGCATTATTAAGCAATTGGAATTATCTAGAGGGCAAGTTTATCTTTTCAGCACATGCTAATAATGCAACTTCCGTTGTAATACTAATCTGCAGTCAAAATGTTTTTTAACACAAATGGCCGATCTTTAAGTCAGTCACTGAGAATGGAAATGTTTATACAGTACCATTAATTCCACTGGCTTATACAGCCCATATGAGGGAAACATGACAATATGAAGCAGCTTTTGAGGTGCATAACCTCACTGACCTTAGTAGCATGAGGTCATTTCGTGATGCGTAGATGCATCAAACAATGGCAATGTGTAGTGGCTGCCTGCGTCACACTGAATATTATGAACAGCATTGTGTTCACCGATATCTGAACAGTGTACATAATCCTTATTAGTCAGGATTTTTTTAAGATACTGTACCATAATCACAAAATAAAAGATATTACTTATTTGTCCCTTTTAAGTGGTGATGTGCTCACAAGTTGAACAGCAATGCTGTTAGCTCATGCTGCATGCGTCAGCCTTGGATGCTCACCAAGTTCTGAGACCTTCACACCAGGAATGGTGTCCACATTATTATTTTCAAAATGGCACCCGTTTACTAGAGGCCTGAGGAAGTCCAGTGTACCTGTGGGACTTTTTAAATATTGTGCAGTACTCAAAGTCATATATGTATGATATGCACAGTGGAAGGGTTAAGGACTCAAAAAAGACTTAAGCGACTTGTACGTGTAGAGCTATCTCAGTGTAGTTGGCTTACAGGAAACCACTGTATGGCCACCCCAGAAACATGACAATATACAACAAAACTATTATAAACAGTAATATTTAGTTACCCATGTTCCTGTAGCTCATCATAATTTTTTATTCTATTTGCAAGAGCACTTCTTTATGAAGTGTTTGATACTAAAACCTCTTTTAACAGCAATGCAAATGCTAACTTCTTACACTTGGACCTTAATCTGCATAGCACAGTATTGCATTTCATGTATTTGGAATTACTGTATATAACCTTGGGAAATCAACTGTACCCATTTTACTAAATTTGAGTTAATAACCAAAAATAAATAAGCTTTGCTTACTTAAAAATAACTTAATTTCCTCAGACACTTGTGCTCTGATCAGCCTTTGATTAAACATTGCTGACTGCCATGTTTTGGTCCATCATTTACTCTGTCAGTACCTGCTCATTAGAAGTAATTTTGAATACTTAGGGTGGGTAAACAAGGAAATGTCAAGTAAGTAATTATCAAAAGAAGGCACCAAGCCGGGAAGAAATGGCAAGTAAGCAAACATAAAAAGATGCATACCTGGCGAGGGTTTCGGGAGTTCTTCTACTCCAAGCCCGACCTAGGGCCAGGCTCGACACCAAGGCATCAAGCCAGGAAGACTATTTAGCACATTTTTGTCAAGTATCCCTCAGGATACCAATGCAAGAGCAAAGAAACAAAATGAGTGATGTCAAAGGCATTGGATTCACCAAAGACTAGTGTAGGACAAATGAAGAAAATTGTATTTTAAATTTTCTAAAAAAGTTTATACAATGTTCAAGGCATGGAAAGCATAAATATTTTAAATATTTATTTATAATCAAGGCATTGGAAGTACGTGAAAACTTATCGAACCTCTGAATAATAGAAGAAAAAAAAAGAAATTTTCATTGCTTATAACTTTTAGATTAATCCAAAGAAAATTTGTTATATACTGTATTTTTATTGTATTCCATATTTATATAAAATAGTAATCAACTGCAAATTAAAAGAATATTTTGTGATTACATCTTCAAACTGAAAAAAGCAAACATTTTCATAACTATTTACATAATCGATTAGGTCACTACTGCTCATGCATCCCACAACACTTCAGAGAAAAACAGTTAAGGCATTGTGACCTTATAACACTTTGTCACAAGGGACCACAAAGTTTTGCCCTACAAGGAAACTAGGCTTTAAATAAAATATAAACAACAAAACATTACTGTGTTTCTTTCTAGAGCATGAAAATACATGCTACTGAGAGAGCACAAATAACTGCCAACAAAAATTAAACCTTAACAGCATATACTGAGATTTACTGGCAAAATAAGATTATATCAAACATGTTATGCTATAAGAGTGGATGATTATCATGGGTTTCATATCAACCACAATCTAAATAAGGTTGTGTGGTTTACATATGCATATGTAAATATATTGCTAGGTATACCAGTATTTATAAGAATCTATGTACAAACATGTAAACAGGTGAAATTATAATTGCATACAATTTAGTGCTTGTGTGAATGTAAGCACTGTGTACGTGTGGCTGTGTTCATATATTTTGGGTTCTATACATATGCATACAGGACAAACACACTACATTATTTATATTAAGAACCGTTTAAAATTTTCCTGTAACAAAAATAACTGCAGAAATGGACTAAGCAAACCACTGATCAAGTATATGCAAAGCCTTAGATTGCCCCTTTTGACTGGACAATTTCAGCTAAAGCATAAATGCATCAGTCAAGCAGCAAGATCCAATATATTTAACAATTCTAAAACTGTCTGATATGGGTACAAGCACAGTACAGCACTGCATAATTCATAAACAATATTCTTATGATTGAGTAAAACCAACTTTCCTTTTGAGAACAAATCAAAACAAGTGTTCATAGATTGAAGAAAAGAAATATTCTAATTTAAAAATACTACATTAACATTATACTTGGTGGCGGCATTAATAATACCAAAACAGTCAAACTTGCATAAAAAAACTAAACTACAAATAAGCAGGCTATAGAAACAAGACAATGCCTCACATCGACTAACTACACAACTTCAAAAAACAGAACTTGCACAGATGCTTAACAAATAAATCCAGTTAAAAAAATATAATAATTTTTTTTCCATAGGCACTTTCTCTGAATATTATACTGGTCACTAGATTTCTTTAAACAGAAGTAACTGAATATGTTTAATTTTCTAAATACTGTAGTAATTTCAATAACTATCTGGTTTCAGACCCACACAACTCCATCCCAGTTTAATCAGCAATGGAATGTCTGACATTACTATCAAGTGGTTGTTAAGTATCACTAAATAGTTATATATCTAATTCAGATTGCTGGTGCCCTCTAAGCCATACCTGTACATGTATAATTTAATATCAATGTTAAAGTGACCAAAAAGTTCCCAAATTCAAATTTTTAAAGAAATTTGCATTTCATAGACAAGTTGGGATACAATTTTCCTGTATAAATTTCAAACACTGGTGTGCTTACCAATATTTTTTTTTTTTGATCTTGTGCATAAAAATAGCAAGATTTTCCTCTAGTTGGTAAAAAGCAAAAAAAACAGATTATTGCAAGAAGCTTAACCTATCTGGCCTTAATGCCTTCAAGCTGTTTACCTCATACTGCAATTAACACATCAGTTATGCCAACACGTAAACAAAAATGGATTTGCAATGGAAAGTGGACTATTGTACCTTTTAAGGTTGTGACCATGGCTGCTGTTGAGGCTGCTGGTGAGGTGGGAATGGATAATTGGTATATGGCTGCTGTGGATATGGAGGAGCAGGATAACCCCCAGGATAGCCACCTGGCTGCTGAGGCTGCTGCTGAAAATATGGGTTATACCCCTGAGGCATGGGTGTGTAAACCGGGTAACTCTGGTATATGTATCCTTGTGGAGCAGGCATCCCTGCTGGAGTGACTGGGTAAGGCAGATTTCCTGGTTGAGGAGTACCATACGATGGATGTGCTCCGGTTTGTGTAGGTGGAGCTAAAGGTGCGCCAGCAGCCAAAGGTGCTCCCTGGTAAGGGTTGGCAGTAGGTGGGGGTGGGCGTGGTGGAGCAGATTTCTGTGCACTTTGAGCCTCTTGGTGATGTGCTGGAGGATTTGGTGCAGAACCAACATTTTGATTGGCTAATCCCTGAGTCAGATCGCGCATTAATTCTTCCTTTTCTGTGCGTCGTGCAAAACAGAAGTCATTAATTTTACTCTGGAAGTTAACTAGCAACTGCGTGAGGTCATTATAAAACTTGGTGCCTTCAGTGAGATTGCTCCTCAACTCATTGAAGTTGTCATACGCAGCAGCTAATTTCATGAGCATTGCTTCACGTTCTCCTCCAACACCTGTGGCAGCTTTGCAGAAATCGGCATGAGCTTCCTGAATGTTTTTAACCAAACCTTCTTGACGCTCCACACTTTCTTTCACCTGTGATTCATGAAGGATATATTAATAATGGAATTAGTACTTAAATTCCCAACATTACATTCCCTTAACAGAATGAATTACTCAATATGGGTGAATTGACAAATCATGTGTTACATAAAAGCATTCTAATAACTTTATCAAACAAGCTAATTGCCAAATGTTTATTTTTAGCAAGAAAAATACTGAATACAGTTCAACCACATGAAGAGCTTAAGAAACATTTAAGGTTAGTGTATTTCTATTAAACTATGTGTAATGACTATAGGGTGGTAAAATATGGGCAGAAGTTGCCTGTACTTTAACAGGACAACAGGAACTACGTGCATGTTGTTATCCTTGGACAACAACATGCACTTAGTGTTTTACTGTACTGTTTTGTTAGTAGGTCAATGTAGAGAAATCCCCTTCACTGGCTTGGAGAAAAATTAGTCTCACACTGCAGCTGGCACTTACTTTAAACACACAATAAATATACCTAATCTAACCAAATATACCCAAATTATTTCATCACAAATCAAGTGTAATATGAAATAATACAATGATGTGGAGAAAGTATACATGACTGGGAGTCATATTCCCTTTCACCCCCCCTCTCAAAATGACTCTTGTTAGCCTCACCTCTGCTGCATTTCCCTATGTTTTTACATAAACTATTCACATTATTTTATCTTACATAAATGCACGACTTTGCATGTTCGTGTGCAAATAACATTGGAAATTGTAACAAGTGATAAAGCACCTTTGATCTTTGGTGGAATGACTGTGCAGGTGGGATATATCAACACGGGGAAATATTGTCAGAAGAACAATATTTACCTTACGACAGCTCAAGCCCAAAATAAATTTATGAATATTTATATTCACAATACACAAACAATGATTTAGGGAACAGTTATAAAAAATATTTGTAATGTACTGCATAAATGTCACTGTTTTGCTTGCCTTTTTGGAGCACAGGCTGGTCTTAACCCAGTGGTTAAGAAGACCAGAATATGGATGAAACACGCAGTACAATACTAAGCCTTTCACATCATACTGTCACTACCCAAGAAGCTGCATAAACTACACACAGCCAGTGTCCAGCTGGTTGTATTTACGTTACTGAAATGTTTTTGTTACCTCTTCAACTGCGACTACTTTTCCTTTTACTGGCAAATGCTATGATTTCCTTCCTTTGCATTTTAATATTCAAAAGAGTTCTAGTGCCAGTGTCAATACTCCTCTGCCAAATGTTTGCCAACCAAAACATGCACTACTTTCTCTAATTATCCTGAATGACATACTGCATAGTATAGTACCATATTCATTTTAAGATGAAAATAACATTTATAGCATCATACCTGCTTCTGTAGGGGCCCAAACACACGTCCCAAACTCTCGGTTGAAATGGCTGGTTCATTAATAGTTCCATCTTGAGAAAGAGCATTAAGGAAGACATCCTTCATGTCTATTGTGGCGCTCTTTAATTCACACTCTATAACGTCTCTTTCAGCCTAAAGAACATAATGGCAATTACATTTTTATTAAATATATTTTTTTTTTTTACTTTCAAAGAGGGGTCAGGATATAGCAGCCTAGAAGAAATAACAGGACAAATAAGAACATAAAAAGATGCAATCTGTTCACCACATTTTCCAAACTACATCAGGCATCACATTAAAAAAAACACTGCGACAAGCTAGCAGTAAATCTACAGCAGGACCCCACCACTTTATACAATCAGGTGTAAAGCACTTCTTGTGCATTGTCATTGATAATCCACATGAAACATTTACCCAAACTGATCCCATAGTTGTCTTGATCCATATCACCTCATGCACGCGTCACAAAAATATCATTACTGCCTTACACTCACTGACTCGTACAACATACCAATCTTCTTATCATTCTTCTAAATATAATTTCAAAAACACTGTTAAACTCCTGAGCCTTAAAGTACAAGGGACTTCATTATTTTAAGTGCATGAACTGCAGCATACTCCACATGATATGTTTTACCACATGGAGCAGAGCAGTCAGGTTATGAAGTGTTTCCTCTGCTGTTAAACTATTTAATTCTTTGAAGACATTTGTGATTTTGCTTTTAAAAAAAAAAAAAAAAAAAATCGAACAGTGCATAGTCATGCCAGTTGATATGTTAAAAAAAATACCTGCTAGTTTTAATTCCCATACAGTATTCAAATAGATAAAAAAACAGCAGTAAAACACTAAACATGTAACAGTATTGTAATGCAACATGGAACTTACTTTCAGAGTTTCGACATCTTCCATAAGTTGTTTGAGCTTCTGAATAGCTGGGTTGCTGCCATTGGTGCTTGCTCCAGCAGTAGGCAAGGATGCGGCCAAATTTTCTGGCCCACTTGACAAGAGCTCCATGCCTTCTTTGTGGGCATCGTACTTTTCACGGATAGTACTATCGGCAGCAACCGCAGTTTCAATCACCTTTCTGTATATTGCACAAGGTTAACAAGTACTGTACATTTAAAAGTGCACAAAACAATGTGCTCATCAGAAGAGCACACAATTATACACTGTAATAAAAGTTGACCACAAAACTGTTTTTGTTCATCACTTACTAGAAGTGTCAGAATTTGGCTGGAGCATTACAGTGGCAACTCTCAACATTTGGACCATATTCTTTTGGACCCAATATAAAATTGTGAATACTTTCTAAATAACCAAAAATATAGACATCAAATTTTTAAAACCTTATTATAGCAAATGATACAAATGCAAGAGAGATTAATGGATGGGTAAAAAGGGAATGTTATAGACATGAAATTCAAAATTTAGTAGTATCATAGGTAAACAAGTACTGACTGTACTCTGACCCCTTCAAGGTAGCAAGGCCCCCCAGCCCCCCCCCCCTCAGTTTCAAACTCATTGCTCAGTTTCACATTTCCAGATAGTAATAATGCAAAAAATAATCAGGTCATATACCTATATTTCTGTGCATTAGCTTGGAATGTTCCAGTAAGCTTGTCAGATGGTGTCCGTGACCATCGTTCCTTGAACTGGGATCGCAATTGAGCGTCAGAATCACTCTCTTCTTTAAGCTGCCTTTCGCATTCCTCAAGAAGTTCTCTATTACGAGTCAAAAGATCAGGCAGGTCTGTGATCATTTTGTTAAGAGCCTGGAGAAAAAAAAAAAAAAGATTGAAACTTGCATTTTGTCAGTATCAATAAAATTGGTAGAACAGGGGAGGTAATTTGCTCTAACAGAACTGTCCAAGATTTTTCATCACAGCAACATTCATGGAAGTTCCCAGAGGATTGTTGTAGGTACATCAGCATTTCTACCACCTTAGATAGATGATGCGCTATATCCTCACTAAGTAGCCTTTAAATCATTTATTAATAAAGCTCTACAATTTTTAATAAAATACAGCATTTAAGGAATTACTGGCTTACAGTATGAAAAAATACACACACATTGCCTTGATAAAAACACAGTAAAGTAGTGAATAAAGTACTACATGTACAGACGGGGTCAAGAGAAACTGGCCAAAATATTTATTGCTGTAAAACTCGCATAAAAAGGAAGGAACACAAGATAGCCTTATTAAAACCTTATTAGTTATCTTTCAACATCTAGAAAATTAACTTATTTTTGTCACTAACTATATGAAGTTAAATGCTTCAGCTGCAGCATAAATATTTTAATTATACTAATTTAATAGTCTCACTTTTCGTATCTGGTATAAAACTGTTTACTTATCCTCATGCCAGTGTATCAAGATTGGGAAAAATGCAGGTTTATATTAAAACATTATATCAAGTTAAATAGCTTAGTGGGGGCGAGACATGGTAAGAGGAGCAAAAGTGCCATGAACATTATCAATACAAACTGCAGGAGCCAGTAACAAGTGTTGAAGATCAAAATGACATGACAAGTGTTAACATTAATGCCGAGGCACAACAGCGACAATGTAACGAACCACAATGGAAATGAGACAAGTGTACAGAAACAAAGCATGGTAGAAAAACAATAAACATCAGGCAAATACTGATTTTTTTTTTACCTCAAATGTATAAACTTGCAAATATTAATATGAAGGGAATATGCAAATATAGTAATAATAGTGCAAAATACAGATTCTCGTCTCAAAAATGCTTAAATATGCATAGGAAGGCAACTTTTAAAAATAAATTTTAGATACTTTTTATTCTATACAATGCAAGCTCTAAACTGACAATAGATTTTATTATCTAACTTGCGTATAGAGCCCACAGGAAATTAAATAGATTATAAAGTCTCAGTACTGTATTAAATTGTCCATGACGATTTGAAATTAAAAAATTATTTTTATAGGTGGATATTAAAAAATAAGCATTTAAGAGAAATTTATAATAGTTTGTTGAAATACAGAACAGCAGTAGATTGACATTACAAGAGTAAGCAAAATATTAATTAAAAGCTTAATATCTAGGAATAAGTTGGTATTAGTACTGGACAAAACAAAAAGATGAAAAACAAAACAAAAAAAACATGCTATACCTCACAGCCTCCAGCTTCAACTACACCAGCAGACTTGTCACGTACAGACTGTGGAACCTTCTCTCCACCAACATCTTCAATGGCAGCAGGCAAGTTGAGAGATGCCAAGATTGAATTCAACAGCTGTGTGCTTTCACGAAGTTTACCAATTTCTCCTGTCACTATTTCCTGCTTGCGTGTGTCATAACTTACAAGAGCTTGCTGAACTCCAACTGGTACTAAAGATTCAAACAGATCTGTGAAACTAGAACTGAATCTTTCTGGGACTGGAGTTGGTTTAGCAACAGGAGCCTTACCAATTCCTTGAAGTGTTTTGACCTGGAACAAAATAAAAACTTATACAAAAGCTCTAAATAATTCAATAAATTATTCAATAAATACACTAACAATTTAACAGCATAAATATTCATCATTAAATTTAACTGAAAATCTTTTTGATTCAAGGCTGCCTAAATGAATAGAGAAATATATACAGTAGATGCATGCAAGTAAAAACAAATGGCATATTTTAAGACAGTACAGAATAATGTTAATAATAATAAAAGAAATAACGGATTTCCAGTTCTAAGATAGAATGTTTTCCTTGTGATTTGCATGTTAAACCAGACCATTAGCTATTTTATCAAGATCTTACCAGAATAAATATGATGCATTCCAAAAAAAAAAAAAAATTACAAAAAATTAACACATTCATATGTAATTTATTAACGATTGCATCATTAACCCTTAGAGCACAAATCATGTACAGTATATACGTTTTACAGTATTGCGCAAGATTTAATTGTCCCATGGCTATATAAGGGTTCACATCAGTTTCCTCAGGACTCCAGTAAACAAACGCCATTGAAAAAAAAAATCATGGGCACTATTTCTGGGTGTAAAGGCTTCGGTATTAAATGAGCATGCAGCAAGAGCTAACAGCGCGACTGTTCAACTTGTGACCACAGCATCGCTTAAAAATTTCAAAATATGTATTTAACCGCTATATATTTTGCTATAAACATGATGTTCAGATATCAATGAACACAATGCTGTTTATGACGTTCACAGCATTAGGCAGGCAGCCACAGCACTCTGCCATTGTTAGGTCAATCTAAGCATCTTTAAACATCTAAATCTCTTCCCTTTGCCACAGGAAGAGGGGAATAGACCCAAAAAGAATGGATAAACCCTTTTTTTTCAATACAGTATTCAAAATGCCTATTGTATGATAACCAAACCACACATCAGAAGATGGAGAAGCAACGGCATTTTGGTCCGTCCAGGACCATAATAAAGTCGTATGCAAGGCATACGGTCCAGATAATGGTCCAGGACGGACAAACTTATTTCTCCATCTTCTGATGTGTGGTTTGGTCATCATATCTTCAGCCACGTTATTGTGACTCGTCTGCCTACTGTATATTGTGGAAAGATGCATTTTATCATTCATGTGATTTTTCAGAACAGATCTAGCCAAATTAAGTCTGAACTACTAAGGAACATTGTATGAAGTATTTTAAGCGAATGTATTAAAGTTAAAATATTCCTTTACATGTAATTATTCAATACTTCCTGCCAGCAAGCCAAGCTTTATATTTCTTGCTCACTCCATTTACATATGGGCAAGTCATAATTAGATTGAACATTTTTATAATCCACTCTTCAAATCAAAGACATTTTAAATTTCTTTTGTGGCATGTAGTATTGAATATACATAGAAAATATTCAAGATAGTGAAGAATTTATTTAAAGCAAGGCAACTAGTATGACTAGTTGATACCTGGTTGATGGGGTTCTGGGAGTTCTACTCCCCAAGCACGGCCCGAGGCCAGGCTTGACTTGTGAGTTTGGTCCACCAGGCCACCAGTGTTTGCAGCGGCCCGCAGGCCCACACATATACCACAGCCCGGTTGATCCAGCACCCCTTGAAGAAAGTGATCGTTTTCTTTTGAAGATGTCCACGGTAGTTCAGGCAATATTTCTTATGCTCAGTGGGAGGATGTTGAACAACCATGGACCTCTGATGTTTATACAGTGTTCTCCGATTGTGCCTATGGCACCCTGCTCTTCACTGGTTCTATTCTGCATTTTCTTCCATATCGTTCACTCCAGTATGTTGTTATTTTACTGTGTAGATTCGGTACGTGACCCTCTAGTATCTTCCATGTGTATATTATTTGATCTCTCTTTCTCCCTCTTGTTTTCTTTCTAGTGGAGGACATTTGGAGAGCTTTGAGACGATCCATCCAAACAATTTAGGTGCTTTATTCCGTCTATATACGCCGTATATGTTCTCTGTATTCCCTCTATTTCAGCAATCTCTTCTGCTCTGAAGGGGAAAGCAAGTACTGAGCAGTACTCATGGGAAAGCACAAGTGATTGGTATAGTACAACCATTGTGATGGGATCCCTGGATTTGAAAGTTCTCGTAATCCATCCCATCATTTTTCTGGCCGACGCAATATTTGCTAGGTTATGCTCCCTAAACGTTAGGTCGTCAGACATCATTATTCCCAAATCCTTTACATGTTGCTTTCCTACTATGGGCACATTTGATTGTTTTTTGTACCCTGTATTATGTTTAAGGTCTTCATTTTTACCATACCCGAGTACCTGGAATTTATCACTGTTAAACATCATGTTTTCTGTTGCCCAGTCGAAAACTTTATTTCTGTCTATAAACATCTGTTTGAAGTTTTTCAATGTCTTCAGCCGAGGTAATTTTCATGCTGATTTTTTGTCATCTGCAAAGGATGATATGAAGCTGTGACTAGTATTTTTGTCTATCTGATACAAGAATAAGGAAAAGCAGTGGTGAAAGGACTGTACCCTGAGGTACAGAGCTTTTAACTGCGCTTGGACTCGATTTTATATGATTTACTGTTATTAGTTGTGTTCTGTTTGACAGAAAACGAAGTATCCAGCGTCCTACTTTACCAGTTATTCCCATCGACCTCATTTTGTGTGCTATCACTCCATGGTCACATTTATCAAAAGCCTTTGTGAGGTCCGTGTATACCACATCAGCATTCAGTTTTTCTTCTAATGACTCGGTGACTTTGTCGAAGTGATCAAGTAGCTGTGAGAGGCACGATCTTCCCACTCAAAATCCATGTTGGCCTGGGTTGTGAAGGCCATTGGTCTTCATGAAATTGGTGACCTGACTCCTAATCACACTCACAAATACTTTTATTATGTGGGACATTAGTGCAACTGGTCTATAAT